GCGAACGCAGGGAGAACATGCAAACTCCACACAGAAACGCCAATTGACTACCTGACTGCATCGCCTGAATAAAACATATATAAATCATAACTAAATAAATAATATTTCATTTCAGTTTTCGCCTCTACTTTGAATAAAGCTCTACTACTCGCCCAATGTGTAGTTCTTTAAAAGTCTGCCATCATTCAAATGTCCTTTATCCAATTTCCCTTATTATCATCATCCTTTCTTTCTGAGAGCATTGAGTTCATTGATATTTTTAGAGCATTTTTTTTTCTCTCAGGAAGAGATTCATCTTTGTGTTGTGAAATGAGCTTATCAGTGGTCCGGACAGACCTCCGTTTCCCTCTCATTAATTATGAGGCAGTGTGGCATCTAGAAAAGTCTTCTCTCTGAACGGCTTTTCTTCCAGCTCTGCGGCCCGACGGAGGAATTCTGGAGTGTTTTCCTTTCTGGACCTCTGGAGTGGAGCTGGAGTGGGAGTTTCTCTCCTCAAGACATCTGTTCTCAAATTAATAGCCCGACGTAACGCGGTGGGGTTTCAGTAAAAGCCTTGCTGCCCTGGGAAATGTTTGGTGTCAACACTGAGATTGACACTGTGTATATACACAGAGTGTGTTTGGCCAATCGGGTTGAGTTTGTTAAGGACAGAAGCTTGTCTTCGGAGGAAAAAAAAATGCTTGTCTTACTTTTAGTATTTTGTCTTGCTTCTAGTCCAAATATCTAAAAATCCTTAAATCAAGAAGACTTTTCTAGACAAGCCAAAAAATAAATTGTTTTCATAAATAATAAGTAAAAATATGCAAATGGGGTTTGCAAAAAAATCTTGTTTTCGCTTTATTATTTTTAAAAGGAATGATTAGTGACATTCACTCCCTCATTAGCATAAACAGCCCTGATTGAGATGCATCTGTCCACTAGGGATGGGCGCTACCACAATTTTTAAAGGCGATACGATACCGATACTTTTTGTTAAAATGTTTACGATACGAAAATGAATGTATGTATAAATTTGTTATAAATGGGTTGTTTTTGTTTCAGTCACATACCGTTGAAGTCAGAATTATTAGCCCCCCTGAATTATTATCACCACTGTTTATTTTTTTCCTAATTTCTGTTTAATAAAGGGAAGATTGTTTCAGCACATTTCTAAATATAATAGTTTTACTAACTCATTTCTAATAACAGATTTATTTTATCTTTGCCATGATGACAGTAAATAATATTTTACTTGATATTTTTCAAGACACTTCTATACAGCTTAAAGTGACATTTAAAGGCTTAACTAGGTTAATAAGGTGAACTAGGCAGGTTAGGGTAATTAGGCAAGTTATTCTATAACGATGGTTTGTTCTTTAGACTATCGGAAAAAATAATTCGCTTAAAGGGGCTAATAATTTTGTCCCAAAAATAGTTTTTAAAAAATTCAAAACTGCTTTTATTCTTACCGAAATAAAACAAATAAGACTTTCTCCAGAAGAAAAAATATTATCAGACATACTGTGAAAATGTCATTGCTCTTTTAGATACCATTAGGCAAAATATTTTTAAAAATAATAAAAAAATCAAAAGGGTGCTAATAATTCTGACTTAAACTGTACATTAAATGTTTAAATATCTGTTAAATATGGTGCTGCTTATATTATTTCACCATTTGTACACGAATACAAGTAGTGAATGTGCTGCTTGTTCGTGGGTGGGGCTTTGTCAGTGTGGTAATGTGGGCTGTTGTGGCTACAGTGCCAGGGCTGAATTTTTGTCCCAGTCTGCCCCTGGATGTATGGATGCAGTCCTCCAAGCTCATGGGATTCTATACTGGACATTATTCCTATTACATGACAAGACATTTGTCCAAGCAAAGTCAGACCTTACTGTCCTAATTAAATAATTCAAAATTAAGACATGATCATATTTTATTTTGGTAAAATAAGCATAATCTAGAGGGTACTTCTGATACCAAATGATCAACTAGAAGTCAAGTTATCATTGTTGTTCCTAAAACTTGGATAGGCGACAAGACTTTTTAGGAATTTGTAGATATTTGGACTCGAAACAAGACAAGAACTGTAGGTCAGGTTCAAGTACTTGACACAGAGTTTTTACCTTTACTTTCATGCTCAGCACCAATGTCTTTTTCTTAGACATTCATTATGATTATCAGATCATGTGATAGTCTTGTTTTCTAACCAGAAAGTCTTGGAACAAAATGAGAATTTCACATTATGCTGCAAAAGGAAAATGTCATATTTGACAATCGTCTCTTCTGGCTCACAAAAAAATTGATGATAAAACAACCAGGAGGACATTCTGATTCTGAGCATGGGACCTTTGTTTGTCCCGTATTAAAACCCTGATGTTAAAATAAAAATAAATATGAGAATTATGTAATGTTTACCATTATACACTGACTATATTCACACACTCTTGCTACACAAAGGTGTTCAAACACATTAAAAAGGGGATTTTTACATAATAGAACCCCTTTAAGACGTTTGTTTTTCTTTACCCGTATTAAAACCCTGATGTTAAAGAAACACTCCACTTATTTATAGGCCCATTTCACAAGTCTGCTTCAGTTAAACAGTTGAGTTTTAGCATTTTTGAATCCCTTTCACCTGATCTCCAGGTCCAGCAGGAACCCTTTTAGCTTAGCTTAGCTTAGCATAAGTCATTAAATCAGATCAAACCATTAGCATCTCACTCAAAGAAATGTTTAAAAGGAGTTGAGATCATTTTCCTATTTGAAGCACAAATCTTCTGTAGTTACATCATAAGACTAAAGTTGTTGCAGGAAATAAGCGAAATTGAGAGGTGTTGATGTCCTCATCTTTGCTTTCTTTAAAATTGTTCTGGATTTTGTTCAATCTTCGTCAGGTACAGTGAAAACTTTAAAGGCGGATGGCTGCTTCTCACTCAGGGCTGTCTATGCTAATGAGGGAGAGATTGTCACTAGTGGGTGGGGCTTCCCCTCTGATGACATGTACAACGGCACTCTCAATCAAAGTGTTTCTGCAGACTGTTTTTATGAAATGTTAAAATAATAATAAGAATTAATTAATGTTTACCATTATACACTGACTATATTCACACACTCTTGCTACACAAAGGTGTTCAAACACATTAAAAAGGGGATTTTTACATAATAGAACCCCTTTAAGACGTTTGTTTTTCTTTACCCGTATTAAAACCCTGATGTTAAAGAAACACTCCACTTATTTATAGGCTCATTTTACAAGTCTGCTTCAGTTAAACAGTTGAGTTTTAGCATTTTTGAATCCCTTTCAGCTGATCTCCAGGTCTAGCAGGAACCCTTTTAGCTTAGCTTAGCTTAGCATAAGTCATTAAATCAGATCAAACCATTAGCATCTCACTCAAAGACTGTTTTTATAAAATGTGATCATAAAAATGAGAATTAATTAATGTTTACCATTATACACTGACTATATTCACACACTCTTGCTACACAAAGGTGTACAACCCTGCTGAAAAATCCAGCTTAAACAAGCCTAGGCTGGTTGGCTGGTTTTAGCTGGTCAACCAGGCTGGTTTTAGAGGGGTTTTGGCCACTTCCAGGCTGGTTTCCAGCCATTTCCAGCCTGGTCTTAGCTGGTCAGGCTGGAAAATGACCAGCTAAATCCAGCTAAAACCAGCTTGACAAGCCTGGTTTAAGCTGGACATAGCTGGTTTTGGCTGGGCTCCCAGCCTGGC